CTTTTTTAAAAATTGGACAGACACTACCAATTTTCCATGTTTCCGGGAAAATATTTTTTGTCAAAAGCTTATTGAATAATTTAGAGAGTGGTTTTGAAAGTGTATGGGCTGTTAAGTTTAACATTTTATTGGTTATGTTATCAGGACCGCATGTTTTTGAAGTATCTAGGTTAAGTATAAGTTTCATTATCTCATGTTGGTTGGTAATTGCAGATATAATGAAGGAATTTGTTCTCGATGGAAAGTTTGGTAGTGTGTCGTTGTTGTTGATCTCCATGTGATTTTTACCAGAAAAATATTTCATAAAAGAATTGGCTATGTCCAGGTTTTTATTAATTGGGATACCAGTTCTGTCATCTATAATGCATGCTATTTCTGATTTCTTAAAATTGTTTCCAAGGAAAGATCTAATAATTTTCCAGTAATTCTTATCATTCTTGGTCATATTATCAATAGATTTGATTAGATTTTGGTCATGGTCAAGTTTGTTTTTTTTGATTAAATTTGTAACTTTTGTTGCTTGCTGATCATAAAGTATTTTATTTTGATAAGTAGGATGTTTTTTCATTGAATTGAAGAGCTTTTTTTCTTTTTCATTTCCAATTGAAGAAAGTTATTAAACCAGGGTTGGTCATTGTATTTAGGTTTGATGATTTTATGAGGTATGTGTTTTTTGTAAATGGACATTAGTTTATCAACAAAATTTGTGGTTACTGTAGGTCACCATCTATGATAGTCATCCAGTAAAAGTTTCTGATTTCAGAGTTTAATTGTTCAATATTGGTTTCATTATATTTCCAGATTGTCCTTTTGCTTGGCTTGATTTTGTGTGTTATGATATTTATATTAGAGGAAGTAGTACAATGATCAGATTTACCGATTGGGTCAGTTACTTCCCAGGAGTCAAATATATCAGGAGAATCAGTTATTATATGGTCAATGCAGGTTTTAGACTGTTTAGTGATTCTTGTTGGTTGGGTCACTAATTGGGTATAATTATATTCATCAAGGTAATCAAGTAATATTTTTCCTGCTAAGTTGTCATCCTGGTTGTCAAACCATTCAGAATTTTTGGCATTTAAATCTCTCATCATGACTACATGGTCAAATTTTGGAACAGAATTTTCAATTTTGGATAATTGTTGCTTAAATAATGAGAAATATTCTTTTGTTTCTTTAGCATTTAGGCTGGGTGATCTATAACATACACCTAGCAGTAGTCTTTTCTGCTGTATCTTAATTTCAGAAAAAAGTATTTCAGTACCTTTAACATAAAAGTCTAGATGTAATGGTTTAGATGCCAAAGTTTTGTGTATATACATAATTAAACCTCTACCTGATTCATTATTAATAGAATTATAGTCCTCAATGTCAAAGTCTCCGGATTCCATTTTGAGTTTAGAAATACCAGTCTCACAGAGGCTGATTACAGCTGGATTAATTTCCCTTGCTCGTCGCTTCAATAATTCAAACCTTGCACCTTCATTTGCAGTTATACTATTTATATTTGAAAGCAGAAGTGTTAGTTTTTCATTTTGGCCTGGATTAGGATGCACATCTCCTGACATTAGAGGAAGAATTGATGTCACGTTTGGTGTGAATGTAAGGGTCAGTAGCCCTGGTATAACTAAGGAGCTAAGCAGCAGTTTTAGAAATAATATGGTGGTATAGGGGCTAAAAGGTGACTTCACTTGGAGTTTAATTATGTATAAACAAACTAGTGGTAGTAAAACAATAGTTACTATCGAGTATGTGATTAGGAAAAATCCTAAGATGGAGGCAAATATGAGTTCTAATCCAAAGTTCATCTTGTACATGAAAATCAGGGTTGTGACCATGAGTAAAATGGTTAAAATGGGAAAAGGGTATATAGTTCTTCCATCCTTAGAAGTAACTTTAAAGTATTTTTTAATTGATTTGCTACCATAGTTAAATAAGCCAATAGCAGCCCTCCATTGCATAATACTATCTATCCTATTCCTTGTTTCCCAAGCCAAGCCCCCTCCCCAGGCACCACCAACACCTTGGATGTTTTGTACGATCACTGGGCATGAGTATCCTATCAACAAAGGAAGCACTTTGTGGTGTGTTTGTGTTGTTCGAGTTTGTTGTATATAGATAACCAGAACAACAGCAACGCCAAAGCGTAGCGAATCCCATCGAACAGAAATGGCTGGCATTTTTACAAATGAATAGCAAATATCATAAAACAACACACCAGAAAGGCCACCATTTTTAAAATGGTTGCTCACTAGCCAAGTTGTCATCAGAAGAAATAATATGCTTTTAAGTAGCCACCTCTAAATTTTTTGAAAAATCGCACACATGCTTGTAAAATAACACACATAAAAATGGTGGCCATTTTTCAAAATGGCCGACTACTCCCCAAAGTTTTATTAGACAATGTGCCATGCTTAAAGTATTCACATATCAAATATGAACAAAATCGCTCCACTACTTTTCGAGTTAAAGTAACATACGTTAAAAAGGCGGCCATTTTTCAAAATTCTTTTCAAAATGGCCGCTTTCTACCAAAAGTGGCATAGGACAGTGTGCCATGCTTATAGTAGTCACATACCAAATATGAACAAAATCGCTCCACGACTTTCGAGTTATAGTAAAATACATTAAAATGGCGGCCATTTTTCAATTTTTTTTTCAAAATGACCGCCTTCTACCAAAAGTGTCATAGGACAGTGTGCCATGCTTAAAGTATTCACATACCAAATATGAACAAAATCGTTACTACTTTTCGAGTTATAGTAAAATATGTTAAAATGGCGGCCATTTTTCAAAAAAAATTTCAAAATGGCCGCCTTCTACCAAAAGTGTCATTAGACAGTGTGCCATGCTTATAGTAGTCACATACCAAATATGAACAAAATCGCTCCACGACTTTTCAAGTTATAGTAAAATACGTTAAAATGGCGGCCATTTTTCAAAAAAATTTTCAAAATGGCCGCCTTCTACGAAAAGTGTCTTTAGACAGTGTGCAATGCTTATAGTATTCACATACCAAATATGAACAAAATCGCTCCACTATTTTTTGAGTTGCAGCAAAAATCGTAAAATGATGAGTAAAGGCCGCCATTTTTCAAGATGGCTGCCATGTGCTTCTTTAATATCTACATTTGTAGCATTATTAATGTCCTTTATAATTTTTTTACATTTAAAACATATTGCTATTACATTTTTACTTATTGCACCTAAATAACTGTAAAATCGGCACTAAAATGGCCGCCATTTTGAAATGAGCGGCCATTTTGAAAATCGGCTTTCGAGCAGAACTTTTAGCCCCATAGGGTATATGTGTACAAAATATGAACAAAATCGGGCCAACGGTATTTGAGTTATTGGCGTTCCCTATATCCCTCCGAACTTCGTTCGATGGGATAACTATCCAATGATCCAAAGGACAATTCTCGGTTTGGAGAACGAATTTCATCAATCTAAATGAGCATTATCCCTGCTTCGGACAAATTTGATTTTTTTACATAATATAGATTTGAATGTCTTCTTTTGAATAGTCATAATTTAATTTGGGTAATATTTCTAGATTTTTCGCAAAAAAATATTAGCGCAGTACACTGATGAACTTTTTTCCCCAAATCGAGACTTGTATTTTATTGAATCGGTCAAATTGAGCATTATCCCTGCTTCAGACCAATTTGTTATTTTTACATCTTGTAGATTTAAATGTCCTCTTTTGAATATTCATAGTTTAATTTGGGTAATATTTCTATATTTTTCATGAAAAAAATTATTAGCCCAGGAGACTGTTCTCCAAACCGAGAATCGTCCTTTAAAAGATTTTTGGCTTCCCAATTTAAATCTGAACTTTGTGTCGTACTCGTAAATGGATGTCCATTTATATTTTTTGTCACATTCTTGTATGTATATTCGATATTTATGTAATTCTGTATATAACTGAGGATAATGTTCCGTAAGTGTCATTTCGTATATGTTCCAAGCAGTGATTCAGGACAAAAAGTTGATTACCTGGGTTTGTTTACATTTTTTCTTAGTTTTTCTTTTTTCTTTAGTTTTAGATGATCCCCATTGTGTCATAAAATTTGTTCAGTATTCTGATTGTTTTCCACACCTTGACCATAGAGATTAGACGGTAGCAATTCAACGAGATTGACATACTCACCAGATGTTATTTTATTTGTTGTTTTCTCTGGTACCCCTATGGCGCATCCTTCAAATGAACGTGGCATGTTCACTGGACTGGAGACTGATTTGGGTGTGGTACCACTTTCAACTTTTTCGTTCATTTTTTCGTTGATATGAATGTCTTTTAATGTTTGTTGAATTAATTCCTGTCCTTTTTGTAATTTTGAGGTGGAAACAGTTAATGCGTTTACCTGCCTGTTCAGTTGTATTATCGCCTGAGCAGAAGCTTCCAGTGATTTTTGCACTTCAACAGTTTCCTTGTGTATTGTTTCATTTTTCAAATCCGTATTTTTTTAGTGTTTCTGTCATTTTTACATCATATTTTTCGCCTGTTGGGCCTTGATGTCCCTTGACAAAATTTCCACATTTGGAGCATCGTTTTGGCTTCGCACCTTTTGGTGATATTTCTATACATTTGCTCATATTTGCTCATAAAAGGAGTGGTATCGATATGGAGAACTTTTTGAACACACGTTTCTCTTAAACCATTCATAAAAAAAATCTAAAAATTTAACACATCGTCAATTTAATGGTGATCTTTTGAATGGTAACAATATAATTTTAAAAAAAAATATATATATATACCTTTATCTGTATTGTGTTAGAAAACACATCAAACACTTGTTTTGTTTCCGAACCTCATTGGAACAAAACGACATAAACACAACATATTTAGGTCTCTCAATATTGTAATTGTACAAAGGAAATTTTGGTTGATTTTAAAAAAGTATCTTGTTAATGAAATAAAAGGTTTATCGTCAAGCTGACTACAATATCGTACCTTTATTATGTACGATAAAAAGTAAAATTGTTGTGAAGGATACATGAGTGAAACTGATTAACAGCTGAAAATGCTGTTATTTGCTGTGACCCAGATAAATGGAATGACTTGACAATCTTATAGTGACTCTTTGTTAGATACCTGAAATACAATACAAGATTCAACTAATTTAAGTTTTGTCCAATTTAAGATTTAGCTCAATATTTACAAGGAGGATACACATATATTTTCGATTCACCTTCATCAAATATATAATTCAAAAATTATAACAATGCACATTTAAAAGGCAACTCCAGTAACATTCAGTTAATTAAGTTTCTAGTCCCTGCTCATTTCTTTCTGGACATATAAAACAGTTTGATATGGCATGCATCTGCATGGAATAAACTGAAAACCTCTCACCTCTTCACATCTGACTTGCTGGTGTCCAAATTGTACTTGTACATGTAGAATGTGTTGGAACAAACAAGAATAATGAACTTGTCCACGAAGTAGAATTGAGCATGTTTAATTGCCTTGGAGAATATGGGATTGTCCTGGAATAATATTCATTTTTACTTATTACAAAACTAGAAATCTGCAACTCAACGGAGTAGCATTTAAATCCAAACTGTATTTTCATGAACCTATATGTGTCATGGTGTATGTTTACCATCCACTCCACCGTTGATTAAATTGGCAGATATGTAAAAGTCTATAAGATTAAGGTCATATCAACATTTCTATCGATTAAGTTTTTGGATTACCATTTTAGAGTTTCAAAGGCACAAATCATAAAGACAATACATGTACGATATCTGAGATCTAACATTAGTATAATATAACCATACTTTCAAGAGATCTCTCATTAACAGGACTTTCTGCTCTGGGCACAATTTTGAATTTTCCTAGGCATGAATGAGAAAAACAATCAGTAGATTTTTGGTCTTACCAAAATTTCAAAGAGTAATACTCATTACTGTGGTAAGAGATGAAAAACTTAGATTTTTGCTAAAAATTCCCGCCATCTTCAAAATGGACAGCCATTTTAAAAACTATTTACAGATGTTGATCCTTCAACTAAATATGAAAAATCTGTTAACTAGTATATGAGTCATTTTCTGGACAGACATTTGCACTGACTGATGGTCACTGAAAGATGGAAAGATGGACAGAGGGCTTCACTATATCCCTACCAAACTTCATTATCTTCCGATTTGAGCAGGACTTGACAGGTTTGTTATTGTAACATGAGTGTTGATTGAACAGATTTTGTTGCATCTATTTGAAAGTCTAATCATGTTAATTCACACATCACATACAATGGATAAAGAAAGTTAAAAACAGATAAAATCGGGAGTTTCAGTGAACAATCGGGTGTCTCATTAATAAATTAAATAAAAACCAAGAGTTTTGCGAGAAAAAAATTTCAAAAGTTTAAAAATCAAGAGTTTTGAATGAAAAGTTGTGAGATTTAGAATAGGGGTTTTGAGTAAAAGATCCAGGTAAGCACTAACAAGGCATTAACATGACAATTTGTCACCACCTAGTTGCTCACAATATTATGAGAATTAAGGCCGTTGAAGCTTAAGCTTAAATCTCAAATCTTATGCCAAATTTCAATTCTGAGAACTTGCAGATGATTTTGAGAAAAAAAAATTTGATCAATTTGAAGCAAGTTGAAAAATACATTTTTGACCTTTTTTGACCCTGAGAAGGTCATCGAAGGTCAAATCTAAAGTCGGATTTCAACTTTTGAAAACTTGTAGACGATTTGATAAAAAATTGGGTCAATTTGAAGCAAATTGAAAAAATACATTTTTGACCTTTTTGATCTTGAGAAGGTCATTGAAGGTCAAATCTAAAATCTAAAGTCAGATTTGAACTTCTGAGACCTTGTAGATGATTTTAAAAAGGTTTGAAGTCAGTCTAAACAGTATTTCTTAGGTTATTGGAAGTTTTTAGAATTTGTTACAGACGCTGGGCACCAACCACCAACCGCCATCACAAAAAACGGAGACCATAACAATACTACGTCACCACTTTTGTGAATTTACAGATAAAATTTACTGGCATTGAAATGTATAATACCTTGTCAAGCTTATTGTCACCCTCCTTGTCAACTCTAAAGTTATTTTTGACTTGTGTGAATGTCATAATAGGATCAGTTTGGTTCTGACACCAGAGGGCAGCACTGTTATCCTCTGATGACGTCAGTAAGTATTTGTTGTCATGACTCCAGAACACCGAGTTGACTGCACCATTATGACCTGGAGGAATACAATACACTATACACAAAGGGTTAAAACGATCTATGGGAGTTCACAGTCAGTGTGCTCACAAAGTATCTGTGTGGTTGGTGCTCTAATGGGGGAATGCATGTGAACTCAACCAATGCCTCCCACCAGTCCATCTCAGATTCTCAGAAAATTCAGTTATCAATTTACAATACTTCTTGAGATATAGTTTTAATTCAAGAGACATGTGGCAAAAGGAGCCAGCTTCGAAAAGTAGTTGAGCGATTTTGTTCATATTTGGTATGTGAATACTATAAGCATGGCACACTGTCTAATTACACTTTTGGAAGAAGGCGCCCATATTGAAAAATGGCTGCCATTTTTACCCTTTTTACCATTACTCGAACAGCAGTGGAGCAATTTTGTTCATATTTGATATGTGAATATTACATGTATAAGCATGCGCCACTGTCTTATGAGATTTTGGCAAGTAAGCGGCCATTATGCAAAATGGCCACCATTGACATGTACGTGTATGCGATCTTGATGAAATTTTATATTTGCCTAATTAGTAGCATATTACACTTTCTGATGACAATTTGGCCATATTGAGCAACCATTTTGAAAATGATGGCCATTTTTGTGAGTTATTTGTTTATGATTGGCTGTTCGAAGGATACGTGTATATAAGACATGATAATAAGACATGCTACTTGAATTTATTCTTATGACTCCAAAATTCCATGTGCAGTATGGCAAGTGATTTTAGACAGATTTAGATTTTCATATCTTTCACCGTGAGTACTTTCTGGCCATAAAAACAATTGTTTTTATTAAAACAATATGTTTTCTTTCAAGTGATGTCCCCATGATGGTAAAATATCAATCCAACTCTCTGAAAAATTATGAATTGGGGCCCCATCCTGGCACTTTTTTAAAAATGTTAGGCTTTTCTAAAAAGAGGATCTTGTTTTTCTCAATTTAAACATATCGAAAGTTTCTTCTACACTATATGAACAATTTCTGAAAAGGGGGTGTGTATTGAAATGCATTAAAGTTAAAATCCACATATCCCATGTTATTTTCCCATCGGGAAAACTCATGCTATCCGTTGTTTTCAGCATCATTTTGGTCATCAAAAATTGATATCTTCAAAACTAGACTTTCAATACCATTATATTTTTGAAGAAGTTTTAGATCCCTTGTTGAATAATCTTTTCATGCAATAAAAATCAGAAAAAGGAGATCCTCTTTTGAGTAAATAGGTTCAATATTTTGAAAAAAATGTTGACATGGGGTCCCTATTCATAATTTTCGAATTGTTCGATTGATATTTGTATCATCACGGGTACACCACTTGAAAGAAAACATATTGTTTTAATAAAAAACACTGTATTTATGCTAAGAAAGTACTCATGGTGAAAGATATGACTGTCTAAAATCACTTGCCATACTGCACGTGGTCTTTTTCCCATTTTTCATTCTCCAGAAATATAATATCCAGTTTCTTACTGGGGTACTGAGTTTAGTTTTTTCAAATACACGAGTTCTTGTGAATTTGTTCCATCGTAAAGACATATAAATCCCCCATCCATCCAATATTAATTTATTTCGATTATTTTTTGTATAACGCATGGAAACTAACTTTAAAAAGTGAGCAATGGCATTAGTATTGTTATAATAACTTCCCTTTATACCTATTTATTACAGATCATGTAGACCATTGTCAGACCATAGACCAATAGATCTCATATCTAAGAAGGGTATCAGTGCAAAAAAATTCTAGATCACCTAACATATTTTGCCATGCACTGCGCCTATTCATTTGGCAATTCAGTTGTACATTTTCTCTTGAAAAAATAAATCTTCCAAATTTGTTGAGTTTTCTTGCAGAAATCGCCTAATCCCTCCTCCATCCATTTTGTACGATCACCGGGTGTGGTTCCTAGGCATCAGCATATAAAATTTGAACCGAATCCGTTCACTGGTACTTGATTAATCAAAGACTATGAAAATGGTGCCCACTTTGAAATTCAGCAGCCATCTTGAATATTCTTTCTCAAACAGAGCTACTGTTTCCCTAGGCGTATAAAATTTGAACCAAATCCGTTCACTGGTATTAGAGTTGTCAAAGATTGAAAAAAAACTGAGTAAGGATAGTACACTCTATTAGGGTCATGGTTGACTGAATACGCATTCTTTTCAATGGTCATTCGAATGTGAGGGGTTTTCTGAAGTGATTTCCAAGTTTCAGTCCAATCCCTCCAGCACTTTTGATTTTATAGGATACTTCTGACCCATGGGGGTCATCAGACTTTGTTAACTTAAATCAAATCTGAAGGTGGTTATTTCCTTATTTTTTTTTGTTCCATTGAGATGCATGTTAAATTGAACTAAGAACTTCTTACCTTCCTGTCAAAAAATATAAAAAAATATCCCACAAAAATCAAAACTTTAGCTCTCTTGTAAAGATTGAGTGGCAAAACGTTCACCGTTATGATCACATGTCTTGAAGTTATTCTGTACACTATACTATACATGTATGTCTGCAAATGAGAGTATTTTATCCAAATTTAAGCTATTTCGCTACTTGCCAAAAAATCTAGAAGCTACAGGTACATGTATTTGTAAAATGTAGTAGCAAAAAATATATGAAATCTGAAGCAAGTTGATTCAGGCATTGTATCCTAAAATTAAGATTCGATGCAAGCATCTCGTGCACATTTTGGAAAGCAACACCTTCAAGGAATGCTGATTGAGTACATTGCTTAAATCCTAAAACCTGGACGGGGATCCTCAGTGCACATGATCTATCTTTTTTGAACATTTGGTATGGTGATGGACCCAAATTTAAGGATCTGGTATGAGAATTCCCCAAAATATATGACTTCTGACATGTCTGAAGCATTGCAATGGTAAGATTTTTCCACTTTTTGGTATGAGAATGGTTGTGGGAGATAATACATCACAGTTGTGGTATGGCATTGAACCAGTAGTTACATATGTCCTTAATTTGAGGTTGTTTTGGATCATTTCTTGAAAATTAGGTATGGCATTGGTCTTATACAGTGGCATAGCCAGGATTTGGTGACCAGGCGTTCTATTTTTATGTAATGCACAAATCCCCCTCCCCTTCATTAGGGTTCCTCAAATAAGAACATTTTTGTGCAATCTGTACAATGACACTCCCTCCAAAAGTTTGGCAATCCTAATTAACCCATTGGATTATGTATTAAAGCATCTTTAAGTTTGAATTCTTATATGCATCATTTGAAATGAAAAAACTATTTTGGGAGGGGAAATATAATTCATTTTAATACCTTCATTAAAGTTAAGTAGACAATTGAATTTGAATTTTATTTAACAAACAAGAACACAAATGTGTACAAAATGTCCCCACCAATGGGTGATCCCGTCAAATGGTTATCCTGAAAATGAGTAGACAAGACTTACTGACACAATTTGAGGATGGAAATCCAAAATGGCCACCTTAAAATTTACCCAGAATCCCCCAAAATTAGTTAGTTCTAGATTTTCATACTAAGAACCACCCCTGGAAATTTGAAATTGATCCGTCAAACAGTTCAACAAGACTTTACAGACAAGATTTAAGGATGGAAAATCCAAAATGGCTGCCTTGACATTTACCCAGAATGTCAAAAAACTAATCAGTTCTAGATTTTCATACTAAGAATCATCCCTGAAAATTTGAAATTGATCTACCAAACGGTTCACCTGAAAACGCGTAGACAAGACTTTACAGACAAGATTTTAGGACAGAAAATCCAAAATGGCTGCCTTGACATTTATCCAGAATGCCAAAAAACTAATCAAATTCAGATTTTCATACTAAGAATCATGTCTGAAATTTCAAAATTGATCTACCAAACGGTTCACCCAAAATCCAAAATGGCTGCCTTGACATTTACCTAAAAAGCCAAAAAACTAATCAGATCTAGATTTTCATACTAGGAATCATCCCTGAAAATTTGAAATTGATCTACCAAACGGTTCACCTGAAAACGCGTAGACAAGACTTTACAGACTTGACAAGACTTGTCAAGACTTGACAATAAAAAAGTGATTATGAGTTTTTGCTGATTTCCTTTTACAAAATTATCACATATAACTACTGTTAACAATAACATAGGCTTTTACAACAAAGCACACCTGAAATTATTTATAAAGCTACTAAATAGTTAAAGTATGAAAACTCAAAAACACCATTCAATGTGATACAAAGTATTATCGCGTGCTAACTTTTCTGAAGACATTCAAAATGGCTGACATGACTGAGCTAACAGGTCCACAACCTAATCAGATGTAGAATGAAGTGAGCTGAACAAGATTTTAAAGTTTTAAAAGCAACTGTGTAGCCATTTTTCTTAAAGTTTGCAGACAAAGATTTTAGCATTTGACCTCAAAATGGCTGACAGGAAGTAGCTATCGAGTTAATTTTTTTCATCCACATCTGTATGCCTGTATGCACTCACAAGTTATTCCTGAAAATTTGAAGGCGATACCTGTAGCGGTTTTGGAGTAAACTGCCGGACGTACGGACAGACAGACAACCAGACGGATGGACGGACGCGCCTAGGACGACAATATGGCCCAACACTATGTGGTGGGGACATAAAAAGGATTTTGGAGAAAACTGCTGGACGTACGTACGGACGGACGGACAGACAGACAACCAGACGGACGGACGCGCCTAGGACGACAATATGGCCCCACACTATGTGGTGGGGACATAAAAAGGACGTACGGACAGACAGACAACCAGACGGACGGACGAACGGACGCGCCTAGGACGACAATATGGCCCCACACTATGTGGTGGGGACATAAAAAGGATGTCTTTATTTACGTTAAAGAAAGTCTGAAAGTAATAGACTTTATCAAGAAACCTCTCCCATTGTAACACAGGACGTAAAAATGATTTTCGAAAATGACCTTGTAGCTTTGTAACATTAATGTTCACAAAGTAAAATAAACGTGCAGCTTGAAAAAAAGTCAGACAACTTATAATTAAT